CGTAGGTTTAGAGGAGTTTCAGATGACTTTAAAACGATAAGTGTAACGGTTTGACTACTAGAAAGTCAAACCGTAGGTTTAGAGGAGTTTCAGATTAATTTAAAGTGTTGACTACTATAAAGTTAAACCATAGGTTTAGAGGAGTTTCGGATGACTTTAAAACGATAAGTGTAACGGTTTGACTACTAGAAAGTCAAACCGTAGGTTTAGAGAAGTTTTGGATGACTTTAAAACTCTAATTGTAAAGGTTTGAACGAGTAAAGAAGCCTATGTTTTTAAAAATTTCGCCGGCATAACAGCTATAAAATGAATATTTTCAAATGAATTAAGCTTATCGTTTGCCCAACAATTGGCAACCCAACTACAATTATATATATATATATATATATATATATATATATATATATAATCAAGCCTAATTTAACAAACAATAAACATAACCTACGAAGTTAATTTAATCTAGAATACGTACAATTTTAAACATACAATTCCAAACATACAATCAACAAACACACATTTTCTAATTTTAAACATACATACAATTTTAAACRTACAACTAATTTCATCACTATTTTCTAATCTATTATCTATTACATACATACAAGACCATTTTACAAACACATTTTACAAACTTACAAACACATTTTACAAACTTACAAACACATTTTACAAACTTACAAATGTATTTGAAGCATCTTAAATTTCTAAACTCCCATAAATCATACCATACAATTGTAAACATACAAGACTATTTTACAAACACATTTTACAAACTTATTTTACAAACACATTTGAAGCATCTTAAATTTCTAAACTACCATAAATCATACCTAAATACAGACCCTTCCTGTTGTCAATCTGGTCGGAACAGGGACGGCGACGACGGTGACGGTGAAGACGACAGTGGGCGACGACGGCGACGGTGACGGTGAGGACGACGGTGGTCGACGATGGCGCTGCTATGGTGGTCGCAAAGGGGACAGCGGTGGTCGGCGACGGTGAAGACTGTGAGGACGGCGGTGGTCGGTCACGGTGAGGACGGCGGCCGTCGGCGACGCTTTAGACGGAAACCTGTCGCTCTCTCTCTCTCTCTCGATATCGTGTCTCTCTCTCTCTCTCGATATCGCGTCTCTCTCTCTTTCTCTCTCTCTCTCTCTCTCTCTCGATCTGGATATCAGGTCTGTTAAGTTAGAGGGATGTGGTGTACTAGGCAAATGGAAAAGGAGGCTTAACCTAGGTTTATTAAAAACAATCAGCGACAGACTGATTCCGTCGCAAATATGTTCACCCATCTCTTTGTGTGTGTGAAGTCGGTATATATATATATATATATATAATATATATAATAATATATATATATATAATATATAATAATATATATATAATATATATATATATGATTTTTGCAAATTCCCTCGCTGATCCCTCGCAGATCAGCGAGGGATCGGCGAGGGAATTGGCAAAAAGCTGATCCCTCACAGATCAGCGAGGGATCAGCGAGGGAATTGTCCTATTTTCTTATTTTTCTTTTTTTTATCGGGGCTTAACCCATTTAACTGGGCTTTGTTCGGTTTTATTGGACCTTAATCTATTTATCGGGATATATTGAGTTTATCGGGCCTTAATGAACTTTATTCAGTTTTATTTGACATTGTTCGGTTTAATGGTCCTTTATGGGCTTTATTCGGTTTAATGGTCCTTTATGGGCTTTATTCGGTTTTATTTGGCCCAAATAAAACCCATTAAGTCCCAACCAAACCGAATAAAACCCATTAAGGCTCAAATAGAACCGAATAAAGCCCATTAAGGCCCAATAAAACCGAATAAATCTCATTAAGGCCCAATAAAATTGAATAAAGCCCATTAAGGCCCAATAAACCGAATAAATCTCATTAAGGCCCAATAAAATTGAATAAATCCCATTAAGGCCCAATAAACCGAATAAATCTCATTAAGGCCCAATAAAATCGAATAAAGTTTCATAAGGCCCGATATAGCCTAATAAAACCGACTCGACGAGTATATAAACATCAATCCAATCGTGGTTACAACCACCACACATCTATATATATCGTGTATACATGTGTATATATATATACATATAACAATTACAACATTGTGTAAACATATAAATATATATATATATAAAACACGGGGCGACAGGTATATATATATATATAACACATGCACATGTGTGCATATAATACAAATCGCGGTTAGCAACCACAACATATATATATATATATATATATATATATATATATATATATATACAAACAACACATATACATGCATACATACGACATCAACATATAAAATATAACACATAAAAATGAGAAAATAGGAAAAATAGAAAAATCTCTCGCTGATCCCTCGCTGATCAGCGAGGGATCTGCGAGGAAATGTGAATTTTGTCATTTCCCTCGCTGATCTGCGAGGGATCAGCGAGGGAATTTTCCTATTTTCTTATTTTCTTGAATTTTATGTGTTATATTTTTATAGGGTTTCTTCGGCAAAATCCCTCGCTGATCCCTTGTAGATCAGCGAGGGATCAGCGAGGGAATTGGTAAAAGTCAGATTCCCTCGCTGATCTGCGAGGGATCAGCGAGAGATTTTGCCGAAGAAATTTCCCTCGCAGATCAGCTAGGGATCAGCGAGGGAATTGCCAAAAAACTAATTCCCTCGCTGATCAGTGAGGGATTAGCGAGGGAAAACTTCCCTCGCAGAT